CAAATGAAGGTGATTAGGGTTTGAGGTTGGGTTATTTTTTTTTTTATATATATTTTTTTTCCTTAAACATCCCATTATGGAAGAGGATAAAAAAGGATGGGGAGGGGAAAGGGGAACAAAAGGCTGGTTTGACTTGAATTAGAGGGGCAAAGGAAGAGCTGGTCTGATCTGCCTCTTGCCTCTGGTCTAAGAGAAGAGACTTGCCCTCTCCCAGCACCTGCAGGTGAAATGTTTTCCGTGGGAACAACTGCTGCCCTCAGGTTTCCTTCTGGAAGCTGCCCGAGTCTCCCACACTTGCTGTCCTGCTCTCCCCCCACTCCCTGCCCCACACGAAGGGAACATCACACTCTGAGCTGCAGTGGGACCCGGGGATGGGATTTCTCTGAGGCACCGCTGACAAAGGGAAGGCATTTTTATAACCCAGGGGTTTCCACCCAAATGAAACACTTGAGTGCTCAGTGAAAGCTTCCCCTGGAGTCTGGAGCTGTCTGAGTCAGCACAGATTCACTTTTGCTACCCAGCCTTAGCTTTCCCATGGAGATGCTCCAATGGTTTGGGCTGTTTGTGCCCTCAGAGCCTCAAAAACTCGCCATCCCGCTCACACTTTGCCCTGCTCCCTTTAAAAAGCACTTTTTAAGTGTCTTGGGAGCAGCAAGCATCCCAGAAGGATCCAGGGAACAGCTCAGGGCAGTCTCTGCTCCCCAGTGCTGGTGGGCACAGCTGGAGGGAATCGGGGGTAACCACCACATGGAGAAAAGGTGATTTGAGTGAACACCCACCACTGGAGTTCTGGAGAAGTTGACTCTGGGAACAGCAGCGTGAGGGCTGTGACTTGGTGTTTGCTTGAGTCTCCAGAGTCAATTGAAATCCTGAGGAGTGTATTTGATGCTGAATGTCTTGTTTGCTTAATAGAACCACATCCTCCTCGGCGCAGGTGAGCATTTTGCAGCATTTACAGCGTGTGGGTCGAGTGCTGTTTATGGCTGTGTAATTGTTGCCACTCTTTTCTTTACCAGCACTCGGGTAAATCTTTTAACTTCGCGTGTTGTTTGAGGTGAGAGATTTGAACAGGCTAATTTCTCAGCCTCTAGAAAATGCACGTTGAAAGGCTCTCAGCATCCTGCCTGCTCTGCCAATCTCCGGTGGCACTGTGCTTTATCAGCTGGGGTGCTAAGATCCTCAGCATAGGTGAGATTAATCTTAATTTTAGATACTCGATACTCTGAGGCTGAAGCCTGACCTGCTCACCCCGGGCTCCTTGTGCAGTCACTGATGGAAATAGGTGTCTCCAGAAGGTGATTCATCTCCGTGCTCTCTATCTCGGGGGTGAGATGAATTGCCCTCTGGAAGCGCCTGCTTCCTCCCTCTCCGTGGCTGTAAAGGGAGCCTAGAGCAATTGGCTCACAATTAGACACCTAAAAAGTTAGACATCTGAGCCCAGGCAGCCGAACCCCCTGCCTGGTGTCTGCCTGGCACTGTTCCCCCATCGCCCGTTCAGCTGTTCCGAATTTCCCTCCCAAATGCGCTGCGGCAGAAAACTGATTCCCTGTGGGAATTCCCCAACACCTGTTAAAGATTGAAATCGCCTCCTAATTCCCCCGGCCCTTCCAAGATCAAACCGTGGGGTGAATTAAGTGCGGGGCCGGGTGGGACGGGGATCGAGGTGATCCCTGCGGTGGCAGCGCTGTCGGTGTCGCTGGGTGAGAAGTTGTCACCCCCCGGAGGTGACATCTGCATGCGTGTGTTCGCCTTTGGAGGAGATGAAGGAGCGCTGCAACCCTGATTTTCCTTCTCTCCCCATCACGGTGCTTTCATCCCCGAGTGCCCGACTGGCTCTGCAGCTTCCAGTGGGAATCGCGCTGCTCCCGACGGAGCTCCTGTCTCCGCTTTTCCAGCGCCGCGTCCCGGGAGGGGGGGGAACAAGCAGCGGGTGAGGTGGGGGGGAAATTGTCCGGAACTGTTCTGCTTTTCCCATCCCCAGAGAAACCTCCCCAGGCAAACTCGCACCAGATCTGATGCCAGTGCTATGCAAAACAGCTGCCAGGTGAACCAAGGAGAGCTGCACAGTCCTACTCTTACCGTGCTAAGCCGAGCTTATCGCTGCCTTTCTCCCCCCTCCCCTTCCCTGTCCGGAACACCCAGAAAGAGCCTCGTTTGCGGGGAAGCTCCTGGGAATTGTAGTGCAGGAGCTCAGGGCAGCCTTGCCCGGTTTAAATCTCAGGGCTTCCCCGGGTTGATGCAATTCAGGGAGGGCAGGACTGCATCTTGCAGATGCTGGAGATTTTTGGATCCCATTGTGTCTGGCTGGTGTAGCAAGAGGCAAGTTGTTGGCTGGGCTGAAGCTCCATTAAAATTAGTGGAGTTCTGGCAGTTTACAGCAGGAGAGAATCTGCTGCCACTTACACTTTTCTTTCTTTTTATCTCCTGGAGCTAGAAAAGATAAAATCTTAAGTGCAGAGTGTTTGAACAGCCCGTTCCTTTCAGCAGAGATGACTACTGCAGTGTGAGTCCTGATGTTGACAGAAACTGGGAGGAAACCGAGTCTATTTTTAAAATATTTGCAGCAAAGTTACTGATTTAACTGAAAGGGGAGAGTTGTTATCCCTATCACACCCAAACCTTGCCTTGCAGCTGGAATCACTTTAACTTCACATTAACTGAAGTAGAAAAAGACCAGATTTGTTTGCAAATAAATCTGTGCACAAACACTGGCTGGTCCTGCTGAAGCCTTGAAGAGATTTGTGTATCCAGCTCCCATTTACATAACCACTGGGAGCAGGAATCACCTCGCCCAAGTTTTAAATATCTCACTCTTGGACATCTAAGCCCGAACTAGTTGCCCCTGGGTCCCTTGGGAGTCAATTAAGAGGAATAGTCATCTCCAGAGGGCCATTCATCTCAGCTGGAGATGGGTGTCTGAGATAGGTGGGAGGAATGGCCTCTGGAGGTGCCTATTGCTCCTCACTGTCTCCCGAGGCAGCCCGGGGCAGTTCTCTCAGACTGAGACACCCAAGTCACCCCTGAGTTAGTGTCAGTCTCCAGGAATATTTGCAGTCACAGAATTCCTGGCTGAGGTGCCCCCGATCCCCCCTGTTGACCCACGGTGGGTAGAACTTGGAGGACGCTGTGTCTGACCTTGCAGGAGAGGAAGGGACAAAGGTCAAAGTCTGGGAAAAGTAAGAGGTGGGAAGCTTGGAAAGAGGAGGAAAGACCGTGCAGGAGAACTTGGGCCTGGTGGTAGTGATGTGCAGGGAAGCTGTTCCAGCTGCACATCCCGGGTTCCAAGTTTTGGGGTGGATGGTGGTGACTCAGACACCTTCACCAGGACCTCGGGATCTCCCTCAAGGCCTTTGAATGTTGCCTCATCAACATGCTGCACTTGAACCGTGACTGAAACTCCTGCATCCAAGAAACCAGGAGATTAGCTTTTCCTTCCTGTTCTATTTTAGCAACTGGGAACTTTATTTCCTCCTTCCCTCCTCGCTTTTCTTCCCTTTAGCTACTGCCTTCAGATTGCATCAACATACCCCCCTCCTCCTTCACCGTGGGTTTCAAAGGTAGAAACTGCAGGCCTTGAAGATCCTCCTGGAGTCCTGCTCAGGTGTGTGGATGCTGATTGTGATCATCCATTAGCACTATCAGCATTCCCATCGGTGGATGTGCAGTTGTTGGCTGGAAGGCAATGAATGAACCCGATTCCCGGGGCGGGAGCAGCTGGAGAGAGGTGGTCAGGGAGCAGATGGCTACAGAGAGGGGGGAGCACGTGGCAAGCTGGAGGTTGGAGCAGGAGCAGGGAATTGCATGGAAGGAGATAAAGACCTGAGATTGGGAAGAGAGAAAGCTTTGAGGAGCAGGTCGGGGGGAAGGCAGGAAGCGAGGGCAGGCTGGAGCAGAGCAGAAATGCAGCCAGGCTGGGGGAGAGGGCACGGAGCTGGAGCGTGGTTGAGGTGCAGATGGTGAGGAGATAGAGGAGATCTCAGAGTTGATGGGGGCAACAGCTTGTTCTGCTGTTAAACAGCGCTGTGGCCAAGTCCTGCAGCTCAGCCCAGCTCAGTTTCCACAGTCAGTGCTGTTAAATGTCTCAGATTAAATCTCCAGAGCTGTTTCTAGATAGCAGAGAACGAGGCTGCCATGAAACTGTTATCGTTGCCTCTCAAATATTTTGCCATCCATGAGTAATTGTACCGAGCACACTCCCCCTGAGGATCTCAGAGGGCCACGCTGATTCACCTGGGAATGTTGTGTGCATGGAAAACTGCAGGCTGGGTTAGGGCAAAGGCTCGTTCAGCTGAGGAAAGCAAGTCCATGGGAGAGTTGGATTTGCACTCCTGCCTGCACAGCCTCTCCCAGCAGCTTTCCAACTTTTTGCAGGAGATGTGAACTGCTGAGAAACACGATGTGTTGGAGCTTGATCAGATCACAGGGCACGGGCTCTGCTTTCTGGGGAACGTTATACTGGAAAAAACAGCGGGAGGAGCCCCCGAGGGCTTGTGTTGGTGGGATGTGAACAATTTAAGGCTGTTTATCACAAACTCGGTTGGACTGGAAGAGAATGACTTGGGGAATGTATTGCAAAGGGAAGGGGTTTCTTGGGGTTGCCTTTGCAGCTAAAGAGCTTCGTGGAATCCCTTAAAGCATTCATATCTGTGGAGAGCACAACCTTTCCTCTGTGATGTTCTTGATGAATTTGGCAGGTGTGATGGAGGGGGGGGGATGTTTATCATCAAAGGGGAATGAGTGAGGGCCTGTGCGGTACCTTCAGGCTGAAACCTGTCTGATTTTTCCCCCTGTGCCTGCCAATCTCTTTTGGAATCAAGGAGACGCCTCTTGAGCACAACCCCACGGCACCCTCTGTTCCTTCAGATATCCCGTAATTACCCAGTGCCACACGGGTTCCTGAAGATCCCAGGCTAACAGCCCTGGCCACCTGTTTGCTGGCCTTTCCCACAGTTAGTCCAGGCTTTACCTGCGGTGCCTTAGTCCTGGATTTCCCTGGAGATCTGTGATGGCCTCCAGCTCACCCCTGCTGGAATCTCCCTTGCACTCAGGGAGATTTCCCCCACCCTTTGCTGCTTGGCCAGGTATCTCCCGGGGAGAAACACTTCTATTATCCTTCAGATACCATTAAATGTTGTAAAATCTGATTTCATCCTTCCACTGCTGCGTTCCCAGTGACCCCCTTCCTCCTCCTCTCCTTGCTCTGAGCTGAGCCAGCCCCATGGCTTTGCTTCCATGTGTTCTAAGTTCTGGAAAATCTCCCATCAGTGCTCACTGTCATCAATACTGAGATGTTTTTCTGTTTGTTTCCTTGTAGGCAATGAACAGAATGGGCTGGACTTTAACAGGCAGGTAAGACTCTCCCTGGGTTACCAGGTATTCTCCTGCTTTCTTGGCTGACTGTTTTTTAATTGCTCATCATGCCGAGGCCCAGGCAGCTCCTGCTGAGAGATAAAAACTGTTAGGGCAGAAGCTGCCATCAAACAGACCACAGAACTTCTTCCCAATTCCCCTTGTGGGATAGAATGACAGATCACACCTCTGGTTTCCCTCTTCCTATTTCGTAGAAGTTCAGCTAATTACAGAGTTTCTTTAAATGACCACTTGCTTGAGGGTTTTGCTGGCCTTTTAATTTTTGTTTTTCTATTATCACTTAGAAACAAAAGGCACCTCAGTTAGAGTGGCAGATGTGCAAATCCCTCCCCAGAGCCCCGTGCCCTGTGACACTGGGAGTGCTGTGGTGTGAGAGGCTAAAGGTACAGGGCTGACTCACAGGAGTATCAGCAAGGACTAAAAAGATGAGGTGGTTTGAGGTCTTGGAGTGTGTAGGTCAAGACCAGGCCTGCCTACCCCAGATTCCTCTTTGCAAGGCAGTGGGGAAAGGGACAGCAGATAAAAGCAGTGCTGCTCGTGGGGCAAGTGAGCCCCAGTTGCCAGTGAGCACAGGAGGGACTGTTTGCTGTGTTCACTGTTCTCCTGCTTTGTGCAGCTAAAAACAACCCCTGAGTTGGTTTTTTTTTTGCTAAAAACAACGCGCTGAATGCCTGGAGATTTTCATTTGTGACCTAAGAAATTGCTGGGTGTCACCTCAGAAGGTGACAGCCCTCTGGAGGGTGTGAGGGTGGGGAGGCTCTGGCACAGGTTGCCCAGAGAAGCTGTGGCTGCCCCATCCCTGGAAGTGTCCAAGGCCAGGTTGGACGGGACTTGGAGCAACCTGGGCTAGTGGAAGGTGTCCCTGCCCATGGCAGGAGGGTGGAACAATCCGGTGTTTAAGGTTCCTTCCAGCCCAAACCATTCTGGGATCCCATGAAAACGCTCTCCGAGTCAGAGCTGAGGGCTCCTGTGGCCACCAGGGCTGGGCTCAGAACCTGTAAAGCAAAAGAGGAAAAAGAGGAAAAAGAGCCAACCCCCTGAGCTGCTGCAGGACTCTGGGGGTTGGATGGGGAGCTGGAGCCAGGGAAGCAACAGGGGCTGTAACTCCACGGAGAGCCACGAGCGCTCGCAGCAGATATTGGCAGCACAGCAACCTCCCTGCTCCCAGCTCTGCATTCCCTGAGCTCAAGGCTTACATCCCTTTCCAAAGGCTCCCTGCTTGCAGCAGGGGGACAGCTGGGCCTTCTCAGTGTGCCTTTTTTTTTTTGCCCTGCAAGCTTTGCCCCGGTGGCTCTTGCCTGACACATGTCAGGGAGCTGCTGTTTGTTTGTTTGGCTTGGCTGCTCCGGCTTTGGGTGGGTCGTAACTTCCCATCAAAGGTGTCTTAACACGCTCAGCCATCTTCCAGGTTTTTGGAATACCCAGCTGAAAACAAAAAAGCCTTGTGTCTCCAGCTCTGTGGATTGCAGAGCCCAGAGCACAGGCTTTCCACGAGCCAGGAGAAGAATCCAATCTGCTCGTAAGCAGCGATAAAAGAAAATTCCCTCCAGATAGAAATAAGCACGAGATCGTTCCACGGTGCAAACTTTTCCTATGGCAACACCACAAAGATGTTGGAGCTGGAAGCTGGGGTTAATCAAGGAGACTCGATTGACTGTGGTGGAGCATCAGAAGTGATCTGACCCACTGTTTTTAGGGTCCTGCTCCTCTGCATGTCACTGAACGATGCTGATGAAGTCTGGGGGGGGGGAGAAGCCAGGCTTGCTGTCAGTAGAAACATCTTCCTCCTAAAAAGAAATTGTGGTTCTGTTTGCCAAAATTTGTTTTGTCACGTATCTCAAAAGAAATTTGAGGGTTTTTTGCAGCATTCACTTCCCGCTGCTGTTTTATTTTTGTTTTTTCTTACAAACAAAGGGGCGACACAAAACCTCATTCATTTGTGCCAGCACGTCCCTGTAAGTGAGCAGCAAACCTGATGGGGATTTCACAAGGTTTAAAAAGCAAAAGGCTGTGAACAAGCTCATTTTATTGTTTCATTTCAGTTTTAATCTGGTCCAACGCCCCAGAACAGTGCCTGCCCACGGGGCTTTGCAGTGATGTCAGGGATGGGGATGTAACAGTCCATGAGTGGACACAGGGCCTGTGCAAGTGGCTCTTTGTCTCCCTCTCTTGGCTCTCTCAAGGCCATGTGTAGGCTTATTTAAAATTATTATTACTATTTAAAATAATAATAATTATTTTGAATTATTGTTATTTAAAATAATAATAATAATAATAGTAATTATTATTATTTTAAATTATTATCTTAAATGAGCATGAGCCCGAATGCACATGAGTTCCACACTCACATTTTGGGTTGACCTCAGCTGTTGGTGAATTCACCCTCAATTCAGCAAATAGATTTCAAATGACGAGAAAAAAGGAAGAGAGGGAGAGATGGAAATATCAAAGTGTTTTCATGTAAAATCAGGTGCTGAGCTCTTTCATTAGGGGTGGAGGTTGGTGGGTTTTTTAATTTGGTTTGGGGTTTGAGGTTGGCTTTGGGTGGCTTTTTTTTTTTTTTCTTTTTCGTTAGCTTGCAATTCAAGTTTTCAACCCGAAGCCAGAGAAGGATGGTTTGAAACCCAACTCCAACCTGACTGCAGGAGCTGCTGAGCTGCCTTTGACTTTATTTGGAGTGCTGGGCGCTAATCACTTTGAAGATCATAAATCTCACATCATTTAAGCCTCTCCCCCAGTCTTTGTAGATGGCCTACATTTCAGGTCTGCTTCCCTCCCATGTTGTGCTCCAGGCGGGAAGAGAAGGGTGGAGTGACCTGGTTAGACCCCTTCCTTGCCTACCAATTCCCTGCCGTGGCTGCTCTCACCCTGCAAACGGGGAGGAGGGAAACTCTCTGCGGAGTTTGAGGTTTTCTTGCAGTTTGTGGGTCAGCCCTGTGCTTTATGAGAAAGCTCCTTCTGATCCCTCAACCTATTTGGCAAACGTTTCTTTTCCCACCCCCTCCTCTCCACTCTTCAAACTCTCCTCCCACCTGGATGCAACAGTAATTTGTATGTGAATGAGAGGGAAAAGGGTGTGTATGGAAAAAAGAGCATCTTCTGCCTTGCCTATCTGGTTTGGCTTTTCAGCCAGGGAGTCTAATGCTGCTTGTTTCCTGTTTATATCAAGGGAAATGCAAAGAGACAGTAATAAACTTTCACCTTCGCTGCTGGCAGCGTGGAGAGGGACATCTGCCTGCTGATGGTTTGGGATCCTGGCCAGAGCCTGGCAGGGACTGAACTGGGTAACTTTGCGAGCAGGGCTTGAGTTTTGCCAGGGAAAGGCATCGTGTGGGACCAGGAGAAGGGCTGGAAGTGTTGGAATGGGAGCTTTCCCCCGGCTGGAATGTGGTGATCCTCCCCAGGTGCTGCTGTGGTCTCACCAGGCTTGGTTTGGTTTAATTCCCGGTCTCCTCAGCGTTCAGCCTTTAGGAAATGCTGGATGGTTTGTTTTTGTAGCTGGCTCTGAAGAGAGCTGTTCTGGAGAGCCAGGTGTCTGGAGCTAATCCCTGGGATAATGCTGCCTTCTGGAATACACACAGGGAGCTGGGGCTCATGGGTTTGGGAGATGCCAGGGCTTGTGTGCCTGGTGGGAGTGTTGTAGCCCAGCACGCAGGGCTGAGCATTGATCTGCAGCTGGAGGAGGAAAAGGCCCAGCTGCTGAATCCCTGACGGCTTTTCCATCAGGGAAGTGATGTGCAGGACCACGCTGGTCCTGGCAGTGGCACAGTCTGGGTGCCAGGGAGGGAATGCAGGCTCAGATCTCTCGAAGCCCTTCCTGCTCTCAAGCACTGAGCTGTTTTCAGTGCTGGGGGAGAGAACATGTCCCTTTGGAAACAAAGCTGAAAGGTTTTGTGTGAGCTGTGCTGGCAGGGCTGAGCAGGATCTGCATGTGCTCCATATCCAAATATGCCATGCACTTTCATTCCAGCAAAAGGCTGACCCTTGCAAGACAGGCTGTCATTTGTTTATCAAACCTGTCATTACCATTAATCAGATCGATGTGAAGGTGCTCCTGCTGTGAGACCTGACAATATTTGAGACAGACAAGCAGGCACTGATGTCCTTGAGCAGGGCTCAGCACAGCTTCAATTTTGCTGTTGGTTCTTTACTCCTATTCTTTGTTTTCTCTGGTTTACACCGATCAGGGAATGTAATAAGGATAAATATCTCTTTCTAACAGGCTTCCTAGAAAGCCTTCTCAACTGGGTCTGTTGAAGAATTCCCCTCTTCTAAAACCAGTGTGTTACTGCCCTACTCTCTGCAAGAGGGTTCCCCTCCCTCAGGACCTCCTTGTCTAACTCTTCTCCCTGCTCTGACAGTCACTGATCAAGGAAACTTCAACTTATTAATTTATGTGGGATTTTCAACAGTTGCTTTGAGGTAACAGGGTGGGTTATCTCAGGTCTTCACAGCTGATGTCCTGTAGACACATGATGTGAGAAATTAAAGTGGGCCAACTGCATCTGAGATCTGGAATCACTGCTGGCTCGTTTTTCAGTGCCATTAATAACACTCTGACCTTGTTTGGTGCTTTCCACCCACACGTCTGAAGGCACTTTGCTAATGGATTTGAGCATCCCGGTGCCTCTGGAAGGTGGGGAGGTGTTAAGCCCTGTCCTACAGACACAGACTGGCTTTTCCCAAAGATGCTGAGCACTGT